GAATTTTTAATAAAGCTATTTTTATTTTTTTATTTTTTATTTTTTGGGAATTTTTTTATTTTTTTAAAAGATTTTTATTTACTTATTCGAGAGAGAGAGAGATAGAGAGAGAGAGAGAGAACGAGGCAGAGACACAGGCAGAGGGAGAAGCAGGCTCCATGCAGGGAGCCCGATGTGGGACTTGATACCGGGTCTCCAGGATCACACCCCGGGCTAAAGGCAGTGTTAAACTGCTAGGCCACCAGGGCTGCCCTTAATAAAGCTATTTTTTAAGGTAAATGTAATAAATACTCAAAAGCTGTCACTTCCAAATTATTTTACTATATCGTACTCATATATATTCCTGAGGTTATTGATGACTATTGTATCTGTATGGTGGTATAGAATATAATGTGCTACTGCACATCTCTTCCCAAATTCACGTTCAGTGACATCATTTTAGCAATTTGAAACTGACTGGGATGGGAGTATGTATATACATGAGAGAAACTGACAAACATTACAATACAGGGCCTGTGTTTATTGAATGTCTAGACTTCAGAAAATGATGGAGAATATGTTAAGAATGTAGAAAATGCTTAAATGTATATGGCCTCTGTAGGTGTTACACTATAAATAGCACAAAAAATTTTTTTAAGATTTTGAAATTTTTTTAAAAACTTTTTAATCTATTGACAGAGAGAGAGAGCACAAGCCAGGGGAGGTGGGGTGGCGGCAGAAAGAGAGAGAGGGAGAACCAGGGAGCCTGACGTGGAGCATGACTGAGCCACCCAGGTGCCCCCCACCAAAAAAATTGCAAAGATATTCTTATAGAATTGAAAAACAATACTTCCATTTGGCAGAGGATACAACAGTGCTGAAAAATGAGTAGAGTTCCAAAATGTGTCTTTTTATTATTAATGAAAAGTATCAGCCAACATCCATTTTAAAATAAACAAATAGTGTTGTCATTTTCATTAAAGAAGATATATAAGTGGCAAACATAAAAAATGCTCAACATCATGAAACATCAGAGAACTGCAATTAAATGCTATAACACCTCTATTAAAACAGTTAAAAATTTAAAAGACTGACAATATGAAGTATTGGCAAAATGTGGAGGAACAGGAGCTCATAGGCTGTCAGTGGGAACACAGATGGGTATAACCAGCTTAGATCACAGTTTGGCAGTTTCTTTTTTTTTAAGATTTTATTTATTCATGAGAGACAGAGAGAGACAGAGAGAGAGAGAGACAGAGAGAGGCAGAGTTTGGCAGTTTCTTACAATGTTTTTAGTCTTCAGATTTTATAAAATATGCTTCAGTGAAGACCCTGGGGCACAACTAGGACAGATTTTTTTTGGTATATTTTTTAAATTGGAGTTCGATTTGCCAACATATAGCATAACACTCGGTGCTCATCCTGTCAAGTGCCCCCCTCAGTGCCCATCACCCAGTCACCCCATCCCCCCACCCACCTCCCTTTCCACTACCCCTTGTTCATTGCCCTGAGTTAGGGAAACATTATACAGCAATTTGGCAGTGTGGCACGATACAAAATCAATGCCCAGAAATCAGGGGCATTTCTATACACTAACAATGAGACTGAAGAAAGAGAAATTAAGGAATCAATCTCATTTATAATTGCACCCAAAAGCATAAGATGCCTAGGAATAAACCTAACCAAAGAGGTAAAGGATCTATATCCTAAAAACTACAGAACACTTCTGAAAGAAATTGAGGAAGACACAAAGAGATGGAAAAATATTCCATGCTCATGGATTGGAAGAATTAATATTGTGAAAATGTCAATGCTACCCAAGGCAATTTACACATTCAATGCAATTCTTATCAAAATACCATGGACTTTCTTCAGAGAGTTGGAACAAATCATCTTAAGATTTGTGTGGAATCAGAAAAGACCCCGAATAGCCAGGGGAATATTGAAAAAGAAAACCATAGCTGGGGGCATCACAATGCCAGATTTCAGGTTGTACTACAAAACTGTGATCATCAAGACAGTGTGGTACTGGCACAAAAACAGACACATGAATGGAACAGAATAGAGAATCCAGAAGTGGACCCTCAACTTTATGGTCAACTAATATTCGACAAAGCAGGAAAGACTATCCACTGGAAAAAAAACAGTCACATCCTGGGACAACAGGATCTCCATTCTCTGTCTTCGTTTCTCTGCCTTTTGAGCAGTGTATGGCCACTAAGGTGAACAGCCCAGGAGGACAATGAGAACAATAAATGGTGCTGGGAAAATTGGACAGCCATGTGCAGAAGAATGAAACTAGACCATTCTCTTACACCATACACAAAGATAAACTCAAAATGGATGAAACATCTAAATGTGAGACAAGATTCCATCAAAATCCTAGAGGAGAACACAGGCAACACCCTTTATGAACTTGGCCACAGCAACTTCTTGCAAGATTCATCCATGAAGGCAAGGGAAACAAAAGCAAAAATGAACTGTTGGAACTTCATCAAAATATAAAATGCTTCTGCACAGCAAAAGAAACAGTCAACAAAACTAAAAGACAACCTACAGAGAAGACATTTGCAAATGACATATCAGATAAAGGGCTAGTACCCAAGATCTATAAAGAACTTATTAAACCAACAGCAAAGAAACAAACAATCCAATCATGAAATGGGCAAAAGACATACAGAAGTTTCACCAAAGAAGAAATAGACATGGCCAACAAGCACATGAGAAAATGCTCCGTATCACTTGCCATCAGGGAAATACAAATCAAAACCACAATGAGATACCACCTCACACCAGTGAGAATGGTGAATATCAACAAGACAGGAAACAACAAATGTTGGAGAAGATGTGGAGAAAGGGGAGTCCTCTCGCACTGTTGATGGGAATGTGAACTGGTATAGCCACTCTGGAGAACAGTGTGGAGGTTCCTCAAAGAGTTAAAAATAAAGCAATTGCACTGCTGGGGATTTACAATACAGATGTAGTGAAATACCGAGATACCTGCATCCCAATGTTTATAAACCAACATATTGCTAAAGAAAGTAAATCCCTGAATCCCTGTAAGGTCTGGTAAGGACAAGGAGAAATCATAAAAGCATGAGGTACATCATGGTTCTTCATTATCATGATTATGATGGTTTTTATGGGTTTAAATGTATGACAAAAATTTTCAATTGTACACCTTAAATATGTGCAGATTACTGCATGTCAATTGTACCTCAAAAAAGTTTCTAAAAAATAGTTCAGAATAAAAAATCTGAATCACCTACTTTTTGTAAACCAGCAGGTTTAACCACCCAGTACTGACTCCACTCTATTTTTCATTATTCCTGAGAAAGAGCAGCCCTGAATCAGTGCAGGAAATACTGGTGAGCAATGGAGGCTGTTCCAAACTGGGACAAATGAAACACTGACTGGACCACAAGAGTCACATCCTGGGACAACAGGATCTCCATTCTCTGTCTTCGTTTCTCTGCCTTTAGAGCAGTGGATGGTCACTGAGGTCAACAGCCCAGGAGGACAATGAGAATTCACAAATACCTCTAGATTATTTGCTCTGACAATGACTTCGGCTAGAGAAGATACACATCACTGGGAGTCCTGTAATTCCTCATAACAATAGTCACTGGGAGATTTATGGATGCACTTTTAGAAGAGGGATATACCATCTAGTTTGCCTATTAATCACATCCAGGATATCAGTACCACCTATGGTTGAAACCAGTTACTGCGGATCCCTGGGTGGCGCAGCGGTTTGGCGCCTGCCTTTGGCCGGGGCGTGATCCTGGAGACCCCGGATCGAATCCCACATCGGGCTCCCGGTGCATGGAGCCTGCTTCTCCCTCTGCCTGTGTCTCTGCCCGCCCCCCCTGTGTGTGTGACTATCATAAATAAATAAAAATTAAAAAAAAAAGAAACCAGTTACTGTAGTCTGAGGAGTGATAAAAGGCCTTCAGAATTATAAATATCAGGACACTCGGCTCCTTTGTAGAACCTGTTGAAAATATTGCCCTTAACAGTGCTGGGCATCACATGACAGCCTCTAGGAGCAAGAGAATAAATTCATGCCATTCCTAAAGGCACCAGAACTTTCCAAAGCAAGGGGCCCTTCCTTAGGGTGTCCTATGGTCTCACAATAGATGGAGGAGGCATCTAGGCCACAAATGAGGACCATGAAGCACTGCATTGTTTCCTAGGTCTTGTGCAGCCATACAAATTAGACCAAAACAAGAATGAGAACTTCTCTCTGTCACTGCATTGTCCTCACTGAGCTGCACAAAGTTGGGGCCCCCACACAAGCACATTTCTGTTTTCCACTCACCCAAAACAGTGAATACAACCCCCATGATTAAAGATAAATTAAACACTAAGAACTTTACTGCTGCACAAACCAGAGCAATGAGGCAGACCGTTGGTGACCTGAAGGCTGGAAAAATCAACTACAAGTGTTGTCTGAAACCAAAAATTTCCATGAAGAAGGTAAGCCTTCCCTGCAAGCTGCCAGCAGAGCCCACTCTTGACCCAAACTGGGTCATATTCATACTTAATCAGAAAAGGGAAAGTACTATAAGGGCAAAGACTACTCAAGATTTCCTCTAGGGAATGGGAGAGAGCACAGACATCTGCCTTGCTTTAGGCACACTGCAGTGACTGATGAAACACTGTACAAGGTAACAGAAGCAGGATGGCTTCTATTAGAGAAACTGGCAGTGATCTAACTCTGGTAAGGGCCCTGGGTAGTTTGGAATGTGTAGTGCAGCTCCTGTAAGCCTCACACATGCCTATAAACTCATGGGGGAATTTCACCCTCTGGACGCTTGCAAGTATGAGGTTTAACTTTAAGTACATGGCTCCCTCATACAAACTATTTAGTGCCATTAGAGTGAACAGGAGATGGCATGTTTCCTTCAAATCTAAGCCTATCTTCAAGTATGGACTTTCTGGTGCTAAACATCAGATGTTGGAGTGACAGATTTCCTATATTTCCTGCATTCATGGGCCTTTTCCATGATGTGAAATTTTCAGTGGAGATTGAGGCTGGAGCATTGGCTAAAGGATTTGCCACATTTGCTGCACTCATAAGGCCTTTCTCCAGTGTGAACTACCTGATGTTGAATGAGAATAGGTTTTTGCCTAAATGATTTTCCACAATCACCATACTCATGAAGTCTTGCTCCTGTGTGAATGCTGCAGTGCTGAATAAGGCTGGTGCTTCGACTAAAGGATCTCCCACATTCACTGCACTTATAAGGCCTTTCTTCAGTGTGAATTTGTTGATGTTTAGTGAAAATAGCTCTTCTGCTAAAGCATTTCCCACACTGGTCACACTCAAAAGGCTTTGCTCTGCTGTGAATTCGCTGGTGTTCAACAAGGCTGTAGCTTTGTCTAAAAGACTTACCACATTCAGCACATTCATGAGGCCTTTCTCCAGTGTGACTTCTGTTGTGCCGATCAAGTTTGGATTTGGATCCAAAGGCTTTCCCACATTCCCCACATGTGTAAAGCCTTTTACTGGTGTGAACACCCTGGTGTCTAATGAGAGTAACTCTTTGGTTAAAGGATTTTCCACACTGGGAACACATATAAGGCCTTACTGTGGTGTGAATTCTCCAGTGTTGAACAAGGATGAAGCTTTGAAGAATTTCCCACATTCACTGCACTTGTAATTTTCTCCACTATGAGTTCTCTGGTGCCTTACAAGATTGGATTTGCACCCAAAGGCTTTCCCATTCCTCACACTCATAAGGCTTTTCTCCACTATGGATTCTGCAGTGTTCAATAAGGTTGGAACATTGACTAAAGGATTTCCCACATTCACCACACATATAAGGCTTTTCTCCAGTGTGGTCTCTCTGGAGCTGAACAAGTGAATACTTGCAGTAAAAAGCTTTCCCATATTTGCTGGACTCATAAACCCTTTTTCTAGTGGATACTCTTCGGTGGTAAACAAGACTCTGTGGTTGGAGACTTCCCAGTGGATTCATGTGATGTGTAATGACTTTTTCCACCATGAAAGGCCTCCCCACACTTGGTGATTTTGTGGTGCTGAAGAAAGCCCAATGTGGCTGGAAACTCCTTTCCAACCTTCCTACAGGTGAAGGGACATGGTAAATGCAGGTCTTTACAAATAAGGCCCTTTCCACATCCCTTTTCTCTGCAGTATAATGCTTCTGAAGCTGGTGTAGGTTTGCACATGCTCCATCCAAGTATAGTTTCTACCCAGGTAGAACAGTCAGGTGCAAAATGTCTTTCAGAATAGGGACACATTTCTCACAGGGGTGAGTCTTCTGGGTGGATAGACCTATCTTTGGAGTCCTGATCTGTGACAAAACTTCTAAAGAAACACTGCCAAATTATGCCTCTTCATTCTCCACTCCATGCCAACAAACTAAAAAAAAGAGAAATACTGATGAATCATGCTGACTACAGTGGGAGAGTATTCATTACAGTGTTTTTAAAGATTTCTGCATAGGATGATTTCGCATCTTATAAAACCATGATGGTAGAGGAGACAATGGACCTGAACAACACTATGGACCAAATGGAGCTAATATATACAGAACATTCCACTCAACAGCAACAGAATACATATTCTACTCAAGGGTGCAGGGGAAAGTATCTAGGATAGATCATATGGTAGGCTAAAAAACATAAGAAAACTGAAATCATATAAGTATCTTTTCTGACCAAATGCAATGAAAAGTAGAAATAACAGGAAGATAATTGGAAAATTCACACATATGTGGAAATAAAGAACATACTCTTGAACAACCAATGAATCAAAGATGAAATCAAAAGGGAAATTAAAAAAATACTTGAGATATATGAAAATAAACAATATGCCAAAATTTATGGGATCCAGCAAGAGCAGTTCTAAGAGGGAAGGCTATAGCAGATACTTATCTATATCAAGAAAAGATAATGGATGTTAAGTAAACATTCTGCTTTTACAACTCAAGGAATTAGAAAAGAACTAAGCCTAACATTAGCAGGAGGATGGAAATAATAAAGGTCAAAGGGAAATAAAGAAAATAATCCTAGGGGATGCCTGGGTGGCTCAATGGTTGGGCGCCTGCCTTCGGGTCATGATCCCAGGATCTAGGATCGAGTCCTGTGTTGGGCTCCCTGCAGGGAGCCTGCTTCTCTTTCTGTCTGTATCTCTGCCTCTCTCTCAGTCTGTGTCTCTCATGAATAAATAAATAAATAAATAAATAAATAAATAAATAAATAAATCTTTTTTTTTTAAAGAAAAGACTAGAAGAACAATAGAAAAGATCAAAGCTAAGAATTGTTTTTGGTTTTGTTTTTTGAAAAAGATAAAATTGACAGACCTTTAAATAGACAAAGGAAAAAAGAAAAGACTCAAATAAATGAAACTAGAAATTAAAGAGGGGATATTGTAATTCATACCACAGAAATATAAGGATCATAAGAAACTACTATTAACTGTACATCAATAAATTGAATAACCTACAAAAAAAGGGATATATTCCTAGAAACATACAACCTACTGAGACTTAACCATAACGAAATAGGAAACCTGAACAAACCAATGATGAGTAAGGACATTGAGTCAGTAATTAAAAACTTTCCCTTAAAACAAACAAAAACCTTCCCCAAAAAGAAAAGTACAAGATTTGATGGCTTCACTGGTGAATTCTAAGAAATACTTAATGTCATTCCTCCTCAAACGCTTCCAAAAAACTGAAGAGGAGGGAATACATCCAAATTCATTTACAAGACCAGCATTACCCTCAGACCAAAGCCATATAAGGATACTACAACACAAGAAAATTACAGGTCAATATCCCTGATGAACCTAGATGCAAAAATCCTAAAAAAAATACTAGTAAACTAAATTCAACAGCACATTAAATGGATCATACACTATGTCCAACTGGAATTTCTCTCTAGGATGCAAAGATGGTTCAACAAACACAAATCAATAAAGTGATATACCACATTAACAAAATGAAGGATAAAAATCATATCATCACCTCAATAGATAGAAAAGCATGTGACAAAATTAAACATCTTTTCATAACAAAAACTCTCAACAAATTAGGTATAGAAAGAACATGATACCTCAACATGATAAAGGTCATATATGATAAGCCCATAGCCAACATCATATTCAATGGTGAAAAGTTGAAAATTTTTGGCTAAGATCAGGAACAAGACAAGGTGACCACTCTCACCACTTCTATTCAACATAGTACTGGAAGTCTTAGCCAGAGTAATTGGACAAGAAAAAAGAAATAAAAAGCATGCAAATGAGAAAAGAAGAAATAAAATTGTCTCTATTTGTGGATGACATAATCTTATGTACAAAAAACCCAAAGACTACACCTAAAACCTGTTAGAATAAATGAATTCAATAAAGTTGCAGGATACAAAACCAACATAAAAAAACTGGATTTTTACATATTAACAATGAACTGTGAAAAAAGAAATTATAAACAATCTCTTTTATAATAGATTCAAAAGGAATAAAACACTTAAGAATAAATTTAAACAAGGAGGTGAAAGATCTATACACTGAGAACTATAAAAACACTGATGAAAGAAATTAAAGATACAAATAAATGGGAAAAAAAGTCCTTGTTTATAGATTTTCAATAATTGATATTCTTTTTTTGGTAAATTTATTTTTTATTGGTGTTCAATTTGCCAACATATAGAATAACACCCAGTGCTCATCCCATCAAGTGCCCCCCTCAGTGCCCGTCACCCAGTCAACCCCACCCCGCCACTGCCCACCTCCCCTTCCCCCACCCCTAGTTCGTTTCCCAGAGTTAGGAGTCTCTCATGTTCTGTCTCCCTTTCTGATATTTCCCACTCATTTTTTTCTCCTTTCCCCTTTATTCCCTGTCACTATTTTTTATATTTCCCAAATGACTGAGACTATATAATGTTTGTCCTTCTCTGATTGACTTATTTCACTCAACATAATACCCTCCAGTTCCATCCACGTCGAAGCAAATGGTGGGTATTTGTTGTTTCTAATGGCTGAATAATATTCCATTGTATACATAAACCATATCTTCTTTATCCATTCATCTTTCGATGGACACCGAGGCTCCTTCCACAGTTTAGCTATTGTGGACATTGCTGCTATAAACATCGGGGTGCAGGTGTCTCGTTCTTTCACTGCGTCTGTATCTTTGGGGTAAATCCCCATCAGTGCAATTTCTGGGTTGTATTTTTAACTCTTTGAGGAACCTCCACACAGTTTTCCAGAGTGGCTGCACCAGTTCACATTCCCACCAACAGTGCAGGAGGGTTCTCCTTTCTCCACATCCTCTCCAACATTTGTGGTTTCCTGTCTTGTTAATTTTCCTCATTCTCACTGGTGTGAGGTGGTATCTCATTATGGTTTTGATTTGTATTTCCCTGATGGCAAGTGATACGGAGCATTTTCTCATGTGCTTGTTGGCCATGTCTATGTCTTCCTCTGTGAGATTTCTGTTCATGTCTTTTGCCCATTTCATGATTGGATTGTTTGTTTCTTTGCTGTTGAGTTTAATAAGTTCTTTATAGATCTTGGATACTAGCCCTTTATCTGATACGTCATTTGCAAATATCTTCTCCCATTCTGTAGGTTGTCTTTAAGTTTTGTTGACTGTTTCTTTTGCTGTGCAGAAGCATTTTATATTGATGAAGTCCCAACAGTTCATTTTTGCTTTTGTTTCCCTTGCCTTCATGGATGAATCTTGCAAGAAGTTGCTGTAGGCCAAGTTCAAAAAGGGTGTTGCCTGTGTTCTCCTCTAGGATTTTGATGGAATCTTGTCTCACATTTAGATGTTTCATCCATTTTGAGTTTATCTTTGAGGCAGGCGGGTCTTGGATGCACCAGGGGCCCACAGGTAGGATCTGCGTGGGGCTCTCACTGCTCACATTCTCATTTAAATCTTTCCCTCTATGGACAGACATGCTTCAAGTCAGCGGGCCAGGTGTGATCTGAGGTCGCATCGGACAGGGTACAAGGTGAACTGGGCACAGTGAGGGTGGACCTTCAGACCCCACGGAAGCTCAGGTGGAGGTCCGGGGAGCGCGGGAGCCAGGGAACACACCTAGAGGGCGTGGGGACCTCCTGGGGGGGGTGCCTCAGAGTCTCCCTCCCAGGCCTCTTCTCCCCAAGGGCGTTAATCCCATTTTCACATGCGGCCTCCAGGGGCGCCCGCCCGGTCCCGAGTCAGGTGCGGGCCGCGAGCTGCCCCGAGTGTCCGGGGGTCCGAGAGCCGGGAGCTGCGGGAGCGCTCGGGGGTTCCCAAGTGTTGGGCACCTGCCGGCAGGACCCCCCCGCCCCCGGACTCCAGGCGTCTCCACTGCTGGTCCCGGTGCCCCAGATCGAGCTGCCAGCGACGCGTCCGCGCGGCTCTCGGGGGGCTGAGTCTGCACCTGTCGCCCCCAAGGCCAAATCTTGATCTTTTCGGGCGACCCCGGGAGGAGCACACAAACCCGCTGGCCCCGATCGGGTCAGGTCCCGAGCCCGTGAAAAGCGGCTCCGAGACTGGTCAGCGCGTTTCACAGAGAGCGCTTCCCCTGGGAGACCTCTTACGTTGGCTGCGACCCCCCACTCCGCTGAGGGTGCCCTTGTGGGCTCGAACTTCCACGAGGGGACCACCGCCGGGCCTTCTCCCGCACACTACAGTGAGTGAAGGATATTCCAGGCCCTCAATGGTCCTGATCCCACCCTTTGTCTCTGGGATTGTGTCCTGGGACTCTTGGCCTGCCCTCTTCCACTCTTCTTGGGCCCAGAGACATTGAAGAAATCCAAGTCCAGGGTCATAAATCCAGAGGTTCCTGTTGCTGGCAACCAATACAATGAAATATAAAAGATTGTTCCAGACATAGGTATCAGAATATGTTCAGTCTAGGAGATGACTATGAGTTTGTTCAGAGAACTGCAGTTCCCCTTTCTTATCATTATAGAGAGAAAGGAGGAGAACTGAGAACAGGTGGGAAGGAGTCAGGCGTGGAATGGCTCCATGAAAAGTTGGGCGTCTCTTCTGGAGGTGATGGGAAACAGGAGATTTGGAACAGAGGGAACTGATCTGATCCAGCTCTCATCAAGCTCCCCGTGGCTGCAGCCTGGAGAGCAGAGCATATACTTTTGGCCTCAGGGGAAGATGGGAGCTGTGACTGGGTGTCATGCCTGGGTATTTGGGAGGGGTACTGGGCCTCATAAACACCACTGAGGGAGAGAAATGGCTGTGGGAAGGTTGTAAGGAGAGAGGACAATCTGTCAGGTGGCCAAAACATCCATAGGAAGCATAGATATGAGAGGATTGTGGAAGGGGTCCTAATGGATGGGACCACAGCATTTGTTAAGTGTTCTTGCTACACACACACAAACACACGCACACAAATAATGATAATAATAATAAAGGGATAGGAGGAAACTTAGGTGATGGGTATATTTATGGCTTCAACAATGATAATGGTTTTATGGTATATACTTATCCCTAACCCATCAAATTGTATCCATGAAACACGTATAGGTTTTTACATGTCAATACTTCCTCAATAAAGTAGTTTAAACATCATTTACTAAAAGGCACCAAAGCCCAAACCTCAGAAACATAATCATTACTGAGGCTCAAATCATATCTGGGGAATCTCACCACTTTAACACACTGTGCTCCTATACTTAGGAAAGTAACCAGATATAAAACAGAAAAATAGATCTGCCTCACTTGAATTGTAGCCTTGCCTAAATTTCCCAATGTCATAACACCCCAAAATATCCCATATTGGGCACACTCTAACATGATGAATACTGCATTTAAAATTAGTATAAGTCTTTTTTTTTAAAAAAAGATTTTATTTATTTATTCATAAAGACAGAGAGAGAGAGGCAGAGACACAGGCAGAGGGAGAAGCAGGCTCCACACAGAGAGCCCGACGTGGGACTCGATCCAGGGTCTCCAGGATCACACCCTGGGCTACAGGTGGCGCTAAACCGCTGCGCCACTGGGGCTGCCCTAGTATAAGTCCTTGACACAGATTGGCTTAATGGGATCCCACAGCCCCCCAGCACTGACCCAGGTATTAATATCACCCAATGTAAGTTAAAATAGGGCCTCCAATGATTAAAACTTATTATATATAAAAAAACTTATTATATAAAATCTAATTAATAAAATAGTGATTATCTTCACTACTTCCCTATCCTACAACCTGACTGTGTCTGTTCTTAAATCTGGAAAAATTAAAGGCTACTTCCTGGTGGATTACTATTATTCACAATAGCAAAAGGTGGAAGTAACCCAAGTATCTTTTAACATGAATGGATTTTTAAAATGTGGTACATTCAGGCAGCGTGGGTGGCTTAGTCAGTTAAGCGTCTGACTCTTGATTTTGGCTCAGGTCATGAGATAGAACCTACTAGGATTCTCTCTCCCTCTGGCCCCCTCTCTGACTCAAGTGGTCTCTCATAAATAAATAAATAAATAAATAAATAAATAAATAAATAAATAAATAAATAAAAGTTATATATTCATGCAATGGAATATTATTCAACCATAAAAAGAAATGAAGTTCTGGGGCACATGGATGGCTCAGTCAAGTGGGTGCCCTCTGCTTGGGTCATGATCTCAGGGTCCTGATATCGAGCCCCAGATTGGGCTCTCTGCTCAGTGGGCTAAAATATTTGAGATGCCTGGGTGGCTCAGTGGTTGGCACCTGCCTTTGGCTCAGGGTGTGATCTTTGAGTGTCCAGATTGAGTCCCGCATGGGACTCCCTGCATGGAGCCTGCTTCTCCCTCCGCCTATGTCTCTGCCTCTCTCTTTCTATGTCTGTCATGTCAAAAAATAAGTATTTTTTAAAAGTTAAAATTTTTGATTGACTATCCAGGTGATGGTCCCTATATGTAAAGAAAATACATATAGGGAAATACATTTCAAGTGAATCAAAAATACAAAAATATAGAATTTTGGGTGTATATCCCTAAGGGGAATATCTGAAGGCAAAACTATCTGCCAAAATCCTAATATTTTACTACAATGTATTGGTATAGTATTTGTGGAACAAATACATTAGTATAGATAAGGAACAAATTGTTCCATGTAAGACAAAACAAATGCAGACAGGAAACCAAAGGATTTGAGTAAAAGTCTAAAGCCTGCATTGGATAGAAACAATATCAAGTCATATAGTATTGATTTTAACTTTTATGTATTTCATTTTTCTTTTCATTGAAAAAATCTAGAAGTGATGGGCAATGCCATAACAATGCCTAATTCTAGCACCCACCTTCATACAGTTTTTCAGTATAAGAAGCAGAGTGGTTTGGGAAGAAAATAAAAGGGCCTGTTCCAGATTCTAGGGCAGGAACTTCCCAAGATATCCCAAAACTTCTTGTTAAGCAAGGGAATAGAGGAAACTGTCAGAATGCTGAGCATCACTTTAAGAGGTCACAAGGTGTCATGAAGAAGGTGCCATTGACCCATTTTGGTTCTAGTAACTTAAAAGGATTGACCTAGATAAGCCAGAGGCATATAGTATAAGTGATATAAAAATAACTGGAAAGATTAATGCTACAAGGTGTTAGGGAAACAATTAATTGTTCTGAAAACTGATAAAGGGTAAATATCAACCATTTCTCCTGCAATAGCTGTGCAGACTGTATTTTGCATTAAGAAATTTCTATATAGGGCAGCCCCAGTGGCTCAGCGATTTAGCGCCACCTCCAGCCCAGGGCCTGATCCTGGAGACCTGGGATCGGGTCCCACGTCGGGTTCCCTGCATGGAGCCTGCTTTTCCCTCTGCCTGTGTCTCTGCCTCTCTCTCTTTCCGTATCTCTCATGAATAAATAAATAAAATCTTTAAAAGAAAAAGAAATTTCTACATAGAGGTGCCTGGGTGGCTCAGTGGTTGAGCATCTGCCTTTGGCTCAGGTGGTGATCCCAGGGTCCTGGGATTGAGTCCCATGTCAAGCTCCCTGCAGAGAGCCTGCTTCTCCCTCTGCCTATGTCTCTGCCTCTCTGTGTGTGTCTCTCATAAATAATTAAATTTTTTTAAAAGAAATTTCTGTATAGGCCCCAAAAAACTGGTCTGTTTTGAATAAGACTTGTGGATAGATAAAAACATTTCATCATGGGAAAAGATTCTTTTTTTAAAAATTTATTTATGTTAGTCACACACACAGAGAGAGAGAGAGGCAGAGACACAGGCAGAGGGAGAAGCAGGCTCCATGCACCAGGAGCCTGACGTGGGACTCGATCCCGGGTCTCCAGGATCACGCCCTGGGCCAAAGGCAGGCACCAAACCACTGCACCACCCAGGGATCCCTCCTCATGGGAAAAGATTCTGAGGTACAAAATTAATAAAAAATAAATTCAACAATATTTTAGAAGAGACTTCCTCGTAAGAACAATTCCTTCTTCCAGATGCACTGATGTTTCAGTATTCGATGATGAAGTATGAAGACATTTTCAAATTGTGAAGACACAAAACACAAAAGTATGCAAACTTTAAAAAGTTTATTTATTTATTTTTTTTATTTACGATAGTCATACAGAGAGAGAGAGAGGCAGAGACACAGGCAGAGGGAGAAGCAGGCTCCATGCACCGGGAGCCCGACGTGGGATTCAATCCCGGGTCTCCAGGATCGCGCCCTGGGCCAAAGGCAGGCGCCAAACCGCTGCGCCACCCAGGGATCCCAACTTTAAAAAGTTTAATGAAAAGAACTTTACTGGGCAGCCCGGGTGGCTCAGCAGTTTAGCGCTGCCTTTAGCCCAGGGTGTGATCCTGGAGGCCCGGGATCAAGTCTCATGTTGGGCTCCCTGCATGGAGCCTGCTTTCTCCCTCTTCCCTCTGCCTGTGTCTCTGCCTCTCTCTCTCTGTGTGTCTCTCATGAATAAATAAATAAAATCTTTTTAAATAAAGAACTTTACCATGTACGAAGTATAATAACTACAAGTTATTATTGGCAAAAAAGCCAAATATGGAATAGAACAAGGGGCTTGCAAATTATGTTTGCAGGTATTTATAGAAGCTTATATATGATAAAAATTAATGATGAATTAGTTTGGAGAAATGGGTTTTTTAATATATGGTAGTAAAATATTTGGAGATTTAATTAAGAAATCAAAGGTATATTTCCAGCTTTAATATTAAGAAAATAAAATAAATAAAAAATAAAAAAATTAAGAAAATAAATACTAAATCTAAATATAAGGAATGTCTAATCTCTTAGCTATGAACATGGTAGTATATTTTCATAATTTTAGCTGAGCAGAGTATTACTAAGTTTTATTAAAACTGAGGACTTAAAACATTCCTAGCACATTTGTATTTAATAATGATTTAAAATTTTTTCACTGGGTGCCTGGGTGGCTCAGTCAGGTAAGCATCTGCCTTCAGCTTAGGTCATGATCCCAGGGTCCTAGGATCAAGTCCCACATTGGGCTCCCTGCTCAACAGGGAGTCGACTTTCCCTGTTCCCACTCCCCCTGCTTGTGTGCTAGCTCTCTCTCACTCTCTCTCACTCTCTCTCTCTGTCAAATAAATAAATAAATAAATCTTTTAAAAATTTTTTCATGTTTATGCTATCTTTTACTGAAAGATCCCTAAAACAATAGAAAAATAAAATTAAAAGAAAGCATTTAAATATGTAGAACAGAGGTGATTATAGTAATCATACTGC